TTCTGGCCTCCAGGAGTTTGCACCCAGATGGAACCAAATACATTTAAGACTGTCTGCAACTTCCACACCTGAGCTGGGCTGTCTCTCCACCATATGCCCATAGGCCATTCCTATAGCAACGTCTACTTCTGGGAGAGTAGAGAATTTGTTGGGTAACTGTTAGCCACATGGAGAGTGGGGTTTGTGGCCTTAGGGCTAGTGACACTAACAAGCCCACCGCAATACATGCCCCATCACCCTAGCCCCAGACTAATGTCATCCAGTCACTCTCAGAGTGCATGCCATTGGGCACCGAGAGGAGATGGCATGAGGCTGTGGATGGCTCCCATCCTGGGTGAGCCCGAGGTGACCTCTGCTAGCAGGACTAATCCAGGTGTTGGGTATGTGGAGAGAGACCCGTCACCCTTCAATTACCTACTGACCCTGACCTATGTCCCCTCTTCTACCCTCCCCCGAGTCAGCGGGAGCTGTCCCCACCGTTCCCTCGTCTTCCCAGATCCCGTATATCTGTTCACGAAGCACCTCAGAGAGGAAGTCTATAATTCTTACAATCTTACATCCCATTCATTGATCTGTTATGTGTATCTCAACATCAGGATTTTGACCCAAAGCAGTCTCTGAAAGATTTGTTCGAGAACAATTTGGTTGAGAGATACTTAATAACATTAAGTAACAGGCAAACCAACTTGATGCAAAGGGAAAAATGCTTGAAAATGTATTTGCAATCGCTGGCTTTTCATGTTTTGGATGAATGGTTGAACGGAGGGATAGTTTTACAACATATTTAATATCTGTGGGAATTTTTTACCCATTTGTTGGAATTTTCAGGCTCCTAGAGAGCTATGTTCTCTTTCATTTTTAATCAGCTTATCTTTTTCAACCATGTGGTTGTCCCAACCAATTTATTATCAATCACTTTGTTTCCCTTGAAATTATTTTGGCCAATTCACCTGGAATTCACCATCTTATGCCAAAACCTACTATATGAGGCTCTGATTTTATTCCAAACTCAGATAGAACTGATTTGTTTAAAAAGCTCATCTGCCCATGAGGAACCTGCCTGCAGAGAGGATGGGGCACTCGGAATGGATTATAAAGCCTGGGAGGTGACACTCTGGTGTCTTTCGGTGGCTGGACCTGGGCAGCAGGGCTGGAGGGGAGGTGGGGAATGGGGGTCCTGACGCGGGTGTCCTTGTTTCCCCCGATGAGAAAGGTACCAGTTTCGGAGTCTGAAGCACTGTGTCACTGGGGGAGAGGCCCTCAATCCTGACGTGAGGGAGAAGTGGAAGAAGCAGACAGGCCTGGAGGTGTATGAAGGCTACGGCCAGTCTGAGACGGTGAGTGCTGCTGTCCTCCACCTGAGCCCTCAGCCAGCCCGTGGGAATGCCGTCCTCAGAGCCTCCTGCCTTTCCGTCTGCCATCTCTGTGACACCTGTCAGGGACCGCCCTGCCCACAGGGAGGACACCCTGATAACAAAACT